GGCAGCTGCTGTGCCCTGGGGCAGGGACACTGGATTTAGGATCACTGGATTTAGGGTTACATTTAGGGTCACATTTAGGATTTAGGATCACATTTGGGGTGTCTCTGTCCCCAGGAGCTGATCCGGAAGGGCATCCCGCACCACTTCTGAGCCATCGTGTGGCAGCTGCTGTGCCCTGGGGCAGGGACAGTGGATTTAGGGTCACATTTATGATCCCATTTAGGATTTAGGATCACATTTGGGATTTCTGTGTCCCCCCAGGAGCTGATCCGGAAGGGCATCCCGCACCACTTCCGAGCCATCGTGTGGCAGCTGCTGTGCCCTGGGCCAGCAGATCTGGGACAATGGCTTTGGGGTCACATTTATGATCACATTTAGGATTTGGGGTCACATTTAGGGTCACATTTGGGATTTCTGTGTCCCCCCAGGAGCTGATCCGGAAGGGCATCCCGCACCACTTCCGAGCCATCGTGTGGCAGCTGCTGTGCAGCGCGGCCGAGCTGCCGCTCAAGGCGCAGTACTCGGAGCTGCTGCGCAGGAGCTCGCCCTGCGAGCGCCTCATCCGCCGCGACATCGCCCGCACCTACCCCGAGCACGACTTCTTCAAGGGCCAGGACAGCCTGGGCCAGGAGGTGCTCTTCAACGTCATGAAGGTGACACTGGGGACAGCTGGGACACCTGGGACACCTGGGACACCTGGGACACCTGGGACACCTGGGACACCTGGGACACCTGGGACACCTGGGACACCTGGGACACCTGGGACACCTGGGACACCTGGGACACCTGGGACACCTGGGACACCTGGGACACCTGGGACACCTGGGACACCTGGGACACCTGGGACACCTGGGACACCTGGGACACCTGGGACACCTGGGACACCTGGGACACCTGGGACACCTGGGACACCTGGGACACCTGGGACACCTGGGACACCTGGGACACCTGGGACACCTGGGACACCTGGGACACCTGGGACACCTGGGACACCTGGGGACACCTGGGACACTGCCAGGGGTGGGACAGGTCCAGGAGGTGCTCTTCAACGTCATGAAGGTGACATGGCCTTGGGGACACTTGGGGACACTGCCAGGGGTGGCACTGGGACAGGAGGTGCTGCTGGGTGTCCCATGGGTGTCCCGTGGGTGTCCCATGGGTGACACAGGGACAGGAGGTGGGGCTGGGTGTCCCGTGGGTGTCCCGTGGGTGTCCCATGGGTGCCATGGGGACAGGAGGGGCTGCTGGGTGTCCCGTGGGTGCCACGGGTGACACCCATGGGTGCCTCTCCAGGCCTATTCCCTGGTGGATCGCGAGGTCGGCTACTGCCAGGGCAGCGCCTTCATCGTGGGACTGCTGCTCATGCAGGTGGGAATGGGGGGATTTTTTTGGGAATTCTGGGGGGGGTTTGGGAATTCAGGGGTTTGGGAATTCTGGGGTGGTTTTTTTTTTTGGGAATTCTGGGGGTTTTTTGGGAATTCTGGGGGGTTTTGGGAATCTCAGAATTCTGAGAAATTCAGAATTCCCAAAAGCTTCTGGGAATTTCAGAACTTTGATGGGAATTCTGGGGTTTTTTTTGAGGGAATTCTGGGGTTTTTTTGGGAATTCTGAGGGATTTTTTGGGAATTCGGAGGATTTTTTTTGGGAATTCCTGGGTTTTTTTGGGAATTCTGCGTTTTTTTTGGCGAATTTTGGGGGATTTTTGGGAATTCTGGGGTTTTTTTTGAGGGAATTCTGGGGTTTTTTTGGGAATTCTGAGGGATTTTTTGGGAATTCGGAGGATTTTTTTTGGGAATTCCTGGGTTTTTTTGGGAATTCTGCGTTTTTTTTGGCGAATTTTGGGGGATTTTTGGGAATTCTGGGGTTTTTTTTGGGAATTCCAGGGATTTTTTTAGGAATTCTGGGCGGTTTTTTGGGAATTCT